GAGTTCATATAAAATTTTGTCATCAGTTTAAAAGTATGATCCGGTTGCAAGCAGGCAGTCTTGAGTTCGATCCCCGGTATTGATAAAAAGAAAAAAGACCAAAAAAAAAAAAAAAAGAGCCGGGCATGGTGGCCTATAATCCCAGCACTCAAGAGGCAGAGATAGGAGGATCACTGTGTGTTTGAGGCCACCCTGTGCTCCAAAATGAGTTTAAGGATCAACCTGGATTATTTAGCGAGACTGTCTAAAAAGTCAATAGATAAATAAAAGTTGGGTTTCACATAGAAGTTGAATTTTTTGAGCTTCTCTAGGAAAATATTCTAACTTTGACAACTTCTGGACCCTCAGTGGCCCCCTCCTAAACAAAATACGTTTTTTTTTGGTTGTTTTTTTTTACTTGCTACTTTGGCACTTGAAAATATGTTTTGTTTTAACAGAATTGGTTACTTTCTACTTTATAAAGGGTCACATAAAATTCATTATCAACTGAGTGAGATTTTGGAGTTTATGGATGAAAATGTTCTCAGTCTGACTTTTATTACCTCCATCATGATATGCAGAATGTGTAGAAACTTTGCATTCACCAACTATACGAAAAGATAAACACTAGTAATTCACGTGATCCAAAATGAGCAGAAGCAAAAGACTAGCATCCCATCAAGAAGAAATATTTCAGACCTGTGAATAGGACAATACTAATTTAAAAAATTGTATTTACTTTGAAGCATTCAGAATGTCAACAAAACAGCTGCAACTTTTTTTTTTTTTACAATTACAGAGTGGTGTTCATTTAATAAAACAATTATTTTGTATAAGTGAATCAGAGACAACTGAAGATGAAAAACTACTGTCCCCATATATAACTAATTTCTGCAGTGTACCAAAAAGAATCTGCTTTAAATTTCCATGCCAATTTACAGCCCATATTATACCAGGCAAGATTAGTGACTATTGAAAATATCACTAGCATAGGGTTATCTAAAGACACATTCGGTAGTGTGTTAAGTATACGGAAAAAAAAAAAAAGAGAGACTATAGTTTAAAAATAAATCTTACACAGCCTTAACATTTCAGCTTTTTTTTTTTTTGAAAAGCAGTGAGTTGTGTACAGGAAGGTTAAATGCTTTAGAGACAAGAAAAAAAACTGTTAGAACCAACTTATTCATCATCTTCCTCCTCCTCTTCATCTTCTTCCTGTTCCTCTTCTATTTCTTGCTTTTTACAGTCTTGACATCTCCCTTTTTCACTGCATCAGGTTTTCCTTTAAGTTTAGCAGCCTTTGTCTCATAAGGCTGTTTGTCATCTGCTGCAGTGTTATTCCACGTTGGTCCCAGTTTCTTTGCGACATCACCAATGGAGAGGCAGGATGTTCTCCTCTGATTTTTGGGTGATACTCAGAACAGAACAAGAAGGCCAAAGGAGGCCTCTTGAGGTACATTGGGATCCTTGAATTTTTTTGTTTCCCCCCTAACAGGATTGTAAGTTTTCATTTTCTCTTTCATAACAAGCCATTGCCATGTCTTCAAATTTTCCTTTCTCTTTCACAAACATGGTCTTCCACCTCTTTGAGAGCTTCCTAGAAAACTTGGAGAAGTTAATGGAAGTATCTTGTGCTTCTCTTGGCAAGCCTGCACAAAGAATGCATACGATGACATTTTGTCTCTTGGCTTCTTAGAGTCTCCTTTGCCTATGTTTAATTGTTTTCCTCAGTGAGGCACACAGTCACCCAGTGCTTCTGGGTCTCACTTGCCCCTGTGCTGTCTCTGTGGAGCTCAGTGTACTGCAGTGGCTGTGAGAGCGGGAGTCAGATGCAGCCTCCTCACTCTCTCTGCTCTGTAACCCAAAATACAGTTTTTAGAAGCCCTTGAAGTCCCTGTGCTTTCCTATCTTACATGCAAGTCACCAATACTTCTGGTACTGCCTGGCTACTGGAGCCATTGCCTTTTTTTTTTTTTTAGGTCTGTGTTTACTATTTGGCTCACTTCCCCTGGTGCCTTTCTGAGCTCTTTCTGTAGTTCCCACACAGAATCTGTGGTAATCCTTTCTCCCAGACCTGCTCAAATCCTAAACTAGACACAGAAAGAATTGCTCTCATTCCTAAGGTTAAATATGTAATAAATATTTTCAGAACAGGAACTGGGAGTACAGTTCAGTGGTAGACTGTTTACCTCCTAACACCAGGTCCTGGGTTTGGTCCCTAACACTTGGACACGTGCTTGCATGCACACACGCACGCGCGTGCGCGCACACACACACACACACACACACACACTTCAAAACAGTTTAAATCTCATGGACAATCCCCTGCCCCATACCTCTAATGGATATATTCACTGTTTTGTTTTGTTTTTTTAAATTGGTACCAGAGATTGAACTCACGACTGCCTGCTTGTAAGGCAGGCGCTTATGCCACTGAGCTAAATCCCCACATTCACTGTTCTTAAAACTTGGTGCTTCCTGGGATTGTGGGGGGTCCTCTCCAGATGTGAGGGTCCTCTACAGAAGTGAGATCCCTTACCCTGGGCACTCAGCACTGCTCCTTGCTGGCAGATTGGGTACAATGGTGTCATCTTTTCCAAGACTTCTCAGATTTTGTTTTTATTTATAACTCTGGTGTGAAAACAATATTGACTTTTGTTACAATTTTGAACTTTGCTCCTCACCTTGAGAATTAAAACCCTTGAAAATACTAAATAGAGAAAACTTCAGAAGTTAGTTGCCTATAGTGACACACCTCTTTAATCTTAGCATTCAGGAGGCTGACAGGAGGATCATTACAATTTTGAGGCCAGTGTGGGCTACATAGTGAGTTTAAGACCAGCCTGAACTGCATGGTTAAGATCCTGTCTCAAAAAAAATTTTTTTTTCAAGTTGACAGTAAAATGGATCCCAAGACTTACAAACTATTATTTAAGAACTCTAAGGAAATATCAAATATACCTATAATTTGGAAACTTAGATGCTCTAGGAATCAACTATGGCCTGTGGTCACCTGAAGACCAGACTCTAAATGTTAAAAATATGGACCCAGTGATGCCAAACATTCTGATTTTTTTCTTTTAGGTACAAGGGACTGTACCCAGGTACTTCACAATGAGTTACCTGCCCTTTTGTTTTTTGTTTTGAGGCAGTGTCTCATTCAGTCACTAAATTTCTGGGTGTGAATCTGAGATGATGCCTCAGCCTCCCAGAATGCTGAGATTACACTTGTGTGCCACCACTCCTGGAATATATTTTTAAAAAAATTAATTTTATAGGGGCTGAGGATTTAAGCTCAGTGGCATAAGCACCTGCCTGGCAAGTCCAAGGTTGTTAGTTTGATCTCTGGTACAAAAAAAAATCTTAAAAAAAATTAACTTTATGAGAACTCTGATAATTTTTAAGTGTCAGACATTGTTTTTTAAAAATAAATTTTTCTTCAGGGAAGTTGAGGCAAAAAAAAAGTAAATTTTGTGAGCTGTTTGCAGAGAAAGTAGTGCCAGTTGCTGAGTGAAACAGTGAACCTTGGAGGACTTGAGGGTCCCAGAGGCAGCAGACACAAGATTCACTGGAGGAACCTTCCAGAAAGTAAACCCCACAGCTGAAATCACCCCCACCCTTTCTGATATCTGTAACCTGCATAGAAGAAATTTTTCCTCACTCTGGAACGTAAAGTGCAATCACTGTCCTTCTCACATTGGGCCTTATTTCCCAGGTCTGGAGGGAAGTTGAGCCCACATCCTTTGAGGCTTCCACAGATGTCTGAAGACGCTGGGCCCCATGCACTTCCCAGTCAGGACTTTTCCCCCTTCATCCTCAAGCTAGAGTGGCTTCATAAATTAAATTATCTCACATCTTTCCAAGATGTAGGGCATCAGGGTGGTTAAAGGGAGTTCTGGGTCTACTTTACCCTTAGGGAGAGCAATCTGTGTGACTTTTTTTTTTTTTTTTTTTTTTTTTTTTGTGGTACTAGAAATCAAACCCAGAGTTTTCTTTTAAAATTTTTGAGCTAAGGTCTTTTGAAGTTACTAAGCTACCCTGGCTGGACTAGAATTTGCAATCCTCCTGCCACAGTTTTCCAGATTATTGGGATTACAGGTGTACCACTACACCCAGCTAATGTCAGCCTCTAGCTCTTATTACAGTCTTCAGGGAAGCCAGAAAATGCCCTTTCCTGGGGAAGCTTTAATGGATCCTAGGCCATCAAAGAGACAGGAAATGAATGTCAGAAGCACTGTGCGCATAATGGTCCCATTCCCATGACTGCAGTGCTCTCTAGGAAACATCAAATATGCCTTTAATCCTAGACAAGGTGGTTGAGCCAGGAGGACAAATTTAAACTCAACCTGAGTAATTTAACAACTTAGTGAAAACATGTTTCAATGTAATAAATAATTTTTTTGGTCTTTTTTAAGGCAAAGTTTCACTAATATGGTACAGGCTGGCCTTGAACTTACTTTGTACCCCAAACTGGCCCCAAACTCGTGGTAATCCTCCTGCCTCAGCCTCCCAAGTACTTGGATTACAAGTGTATGCCACTGTGACTGGCTTTTAAAATAAAAAAAATTAAAAGGGCCTGGAATGTAGGTTAGTGAGAAGGTCCTGACTCAATTCCTAGTACTAAAAAAACCCGAAAGATTAAAAAGGATCAAATATCAGAGTCTTTCCCAAACTGCATCTTCCCATTTTTCTGTTTTGGCACCTCTGCTTTATAGACATTGTGAATAATTGTTTGGTAGAGTAATCATCATAAACAGGCATTGTAGGTCTAGAAGTTATTTTCTAGCCAAAGCAGGTGCGCGCTTGGTTCAGGACCCCAGACCCGGAACCCTCAAAGCTGGGAACTCTGTAGGGCGGCAGCTGCATGGGGAACGGGATCTGGGAGGGACTTCCTGTTGTCCCTAATCCCAGTCTCCACCCAGCTCCCCGCTTTCTCGTTGCTGGCTGCAGAGACTGCCCTCCCTGGGGAGGGGCCCTGCTACTCTACCTACTCTACCTCCACTTTGGTGAGACGTGGGGTGCTGGGGAGGGTGCTGGATCCTGACGCCGGAACAGGTGGCTAGCTTGCAAGAGGGAACAGGGTCAAAGGTGGAGGGTTTTGGGCTGGCAGGAGGGAAGAGGCCTGGACCTGGATTTGGTAAGGAGAAAGACATTGTATGCAGAACCACCAGTGCAATGGACATCCCGAGGCAGCAGCTGCAGCTGCAGAGTGAGGTGCTTAGAGAGAGGCTGGTTGATTCCTGAATGGAGATCTTAGGTGGGTCAGAGCCCACAGTATGTGTCTTGAGGCCCTTGGCTCTGATTCCCAAGTCTGTGAAAGGCAGACCCTACTGCCCATTTTGTAGGATCTCTGCACAGCTTTCTGCTTCTGGTGACAGGAAATACTGGTTTCAATTTAGCTTTGACTTTCCTTGAGCTGGTGGCCCTGAGATGGGAAGCTCTTTAGCAGTAAAGGGGACAATATACAACAGCATTCTTTTGAAAGGAAGAAACAGAAACCATCATTGAAGGTGGGACTGTAGGATTAGGTGAGGTAGATTTCATTTCTAGGGAGCTCTGATTTGGTGTACAGATTTTCAAGGCATATCAGAGGTGTCCAGGAATCACTTGCTGATTTCTTTCTGCTCTTCCAGGCTTCTGGCCAGAAGCCAGAGGGGGGTTGGCTGACAGTAGAGAGAAACAACTTGCTGTTCTTCCTAGCTCTGAAACAGAAAATGGCTACAGACGGTGGAGGCGTCCCTGTTGCTGAGAACAAGGGGAGAGTCCAGGAGGTATGATGGGGTTTCAGATGAAAAAGGCATGCATTGAAGGGAACAGATCAAAGTTTGATGGGGATTGCGGTCAAAGGAGGGTGTCTGGACCAAGGGGAAAATTAGACTCCCTGGTGGAGGAGTAGGAGGTTGGAGCACTGGATGTGGAGTATTAGAGAGAAGGAAGTATATTGGGAGATACCCTCCATCTGGTATTTCCACTGTAACTTTTGTCTGGTGGATCCTATAAGCCAGTGGGCACATGAGATAGTGAATAGTAGGTATCCGCTGGTAAGGTTTATTCTGCACAGTGCGCAGTGCACACAGGGAACCTTATTCTGTTCCCCACTCCCTCTCTCTAGGCATAACCTCATCTGTCTGGGTCTCTGCTCCCTGTTCTTCCTGTGCCTGGTATCTGTGTGTGTGTGCATGTATGCACATAAGTGTGTGTATTGTACATTTGTGTGCGTATATAATGATCACCTTCTGGGGCCTAGGGTCTCCAGGACCAGAGTCAGAGTCCCCTGGCCTGTGGTCAGTAGGTGTCAGTTGTAAAATGTGGAACATGTACCTGAAGACCTTACCTATTTTACTAGGTCCTGGGGAGGTTGAAAGGAAGTAATGGGGATGAAGCCTTCTACAAGGAGCTCATCAGCCTGTAACTGATTACTATACTACACAAAGCTGGGGCACCTCTGACTGTTGGAGTCTATACTGTACCCCCACCTAGTGTATTTATGTATGCACAGCTGGTATTAGTGCTGCTGACTTTATGCCACTGTTACCCCTGTTCCATGTGCCTTTCAAGGTTGCTTGTTACATGGCCCTTGAGCACCTGACAAGATTGTACATCTACATCCTCTGCTGATGTCAGATTCTGTCAAGCATGTGCAGGTAGAGTGATGATGATAATAATAATAACCTGTGCTGCTTCATGTTTATCCAGAATCATCTCTGACTCACTTGTGTGCCCCTCATAACTGCTCTGGGCAGGCAGGAGAAGAACGTGACTCCCAAAAGCCCCTATCTGTCAGGGTGTTAATGAGTCTGGCACTCTGGCGCCCAGGCACTTTGACTTGGAGCTGAGGATATTCCAAGACCTGAACATAGTGGAGGTATGGGGAGAACTGTACACAAGCTGGTCCATATGCCATGGTGGTGATGCGAACTCACCAGGGCCCTGCCAGTATGAGGGAGATGGCTTACCTGCCCAAAGCTTTTGAGTTCTGTGGTTGTGGGCCATTGTCTAATCTCTGGCCTTGGTGTGTTTGTTTCCTGTAGCTGCAATAGATACCACTGACTGGGTGGTTTCAGACAACCATGATTTACTCACTACAGTCTTGGAGACCAAGGTGTCAGCTGGGTCATACTCCGTCACAGATTCTTATGGAGGGCCCTTCCCTTCTCTTCCTGCTTCTAGTGACTCTTGGTTCTCCTTGGCTTACTTGATGATGAGGGCTATCATTCCTAGATTTCAGGTCAGGCACATCCCTGTCAAGACATGCTCTGCAGGCTAGAGGAGACAGTGCCTTTGAGAGCTGCTCAGATGTCACAGCACATCAAGATGGAGCCAGAAGAGCCGAATCCTGAGGGGGCTTCACGGGAAGACAGTGCTCCAGGTGGATGTGGCCAGGTGCCCCTAAGCCCTGGCTCTAAAGAGAAAGCTCTCTTACTGCCTGGTGGAGGTAGGACAGGGAGATGGAAAACTGAGATCCTTTCCTGGGGAGGCATCTGTGGGAGGGTAGAAACTTGACCAAAGCAAGGCTGACGAGCTTTAACCTAGGAGGGAACCCAAAATTTCACCTGACTTTCTGAGACCACCCTTGGCAGTCTCTTCTTGGATTGGGTTGGGGGTAGTATAAGAGACAGCTGGGGAGCAGCAGCATACAACAGGAGGAGCTGACCACCCTAAGGACCCCTCTCCTCCTATAGCCCTTTCCTCACCCCGGATCCCTGTACTTTCCCGAGAGGGGCGGACCAGAGACCAGCAGATGGCTGCCGCACTCCTCACAGCCTGGTCCCAGGTAAGTGTCTCTTTCAGGCCTGTTTGCCCTCTGTCCCGCCTGTCTCTGGGTGAAGGCAGGGCCCTTCTCTGGCCCTGCATCTGCTGTGTCCAGCTGGAGAGGCTGTTAAGAAGTAATAGGCATGAAGCCCTAATCTTCCACTTTCCCAACTGTCCCTGAAGTACTGTAGGAATGGCCACCTGAGCACCCTAGCCCAGGCATGGAGCCCACAGTTAGGCCTGGCTGAGGCTGGAAAAGCAACAGAAGAGTAAACAGCTGGGTCTGTGATTGTGACTCATTGTCCAGGGGCTGAGATGAGAGTGGGAGGTGTGTGGAGATCCTGAGTTCTGGCTATGGTCCCTGAATATACAGCTTTGCTCTTGAATCTCCCCTAACAAAGGCCATCCTTGGGTGGCTGTCCCACCTGACCATTAGGTCTGGGTGGCAGGCCTCCCTGGGGACAAGTTGGGTTTTCAGCATACATCTTGGCATCATCATTCTACCATGTCCATGCGTATCCTGGGCACAGGGTGTTTTATATTGTGTCAGATGCCTGTGACATTTGAGGATGTAGCTCTGTACCTTTCCCGGGAAGAATGGGGACGACTGGACCATACACAGCAAGACTTCTACAGGGATATGCTGCAGAAGAAAAATGGGCTGGCCTTGGGTAAGAGCTTACAGGTGGTGGGGGCATCTGGCTTTCTGAGGTCCTGGAGTGAGGGTGGGGTTCCTGCTATTACTTCCCTGTTCCTTTTTTTTGCAGAGGAGGGGGGATTGGAAGTTGGGGGGTGGGGAGTAACTGGGAATTGAACCAGGGCCTTTGCACTGAGCTCCATTTCCAGCCTTTAAATTTAGACAGATTTTTTTTTTTTTTTTTTTAAATCGGTACCAGGGATCGAACTCATGACCGCCTGCTTGCAAGGCAGGTGTTTATGCCGCTGAGCTAAATCCCCAGCCCCTAGACAGAATCTTAAGTTTGAGCTGTTTCTGGGCTTAAACTTTTTTTTTTTTTTTTTTTGTCTTTTTGAGACAGGGTCTATCTGTGCAGTTTGGGCTGCCCTTGGGCTCACTTTGTAGCCCAGACTGGTCTCAAACTCGCAATGATCCTCCTGCCTCAGCCTCCCAGAGTGCTAGGATCACAAGTGTGTGCTATCTATCCAGCTCCCTCTCATTGCTTCTTCAGACAGCATTGTTCTGTAGAACCTTCCACAGGAATTGAAACATTCTGCATCTGTCCTAGGATAGCAGCCACTAGAAATGTGCTTAGAGCAACTGAGTTTCTAGTTTCATTTAACTTTGATCAGCTAAGATTTGAGTGCAAACAGCTATGGTTTGTGGCTGCCCTACTGCACAGCACTGATCTGGGTTCTGCTTTTTTTCTGTCTTTTTTCACAGTGCTTATTCATTTCCATAGTTCTTTCTCCCTTCTCTTAGCACCAGCTTCAGAAATGCCTGCAGAAAGCTTGACCCTGGGCTTTGTGGACTGCTCAGCCTGATGGGAAGTGGCACCAATCCCTTAGGCCTAACATTTGCTGAGGTGTCACATTTGCCCTCGGAAGCTGGGGAGACTATGGTCCTCAGTGGGGCTGGTTTGCCTTGGCTTCCCTGATGGCAGGTATTTAAGTTCCAGGCTTTTGACTCCTCCATTTCAGACCAATTTTCTTGACAGGATCTGAAGAGGTCTTCAAGTGTTGTCATCTAGTCAGTCAGTCAACACCCAGATACTGCACACAGTTGCATCCTTGACTTCCATGATGGTCCTGGCCTGCAGGCCCTTGCTGGTCTCCCCAGCTGCCAAGCTCACTCTGCTAATTATCTCAGTCTGGCTCCCCCACCCCACTCATTCACATGCCATGAGGCCCAGGCCAACAAGCCCTGGCAAGTCTTAGAGGATCAGAGAGAACTGAGCAGACAGCTACAGGCCCCAAAGATGTCCAGAGCCACTTTGTGGGTCCCATGAATATCTTTAATCCTATGGAAGGCCCTCTGTTCTCATTCTGACTTCACCAAAATTCCCAGGGCCTCTTACCCCTGGGACTCAGCACATGGGTTTTAACTTCTTGGTTGCCAGTGTTCCCAGCCTCTGTCCTGGGCCTGCCCTTTTCATCCCTACTCCATGTAAATGCAGCCATAAGACAGTTCTTCCCACTTCTTAGTGTACTGACAAAGTGAAGAGGCAAAGGAACTGCCACTCTGACCTGGTTCAGCTCTGTTGTTCTCCCTACCATCTGTTGCTTGTGCAGGGAAATGGGAGGCAGGGACAGCTCGGCACTGGGAAGAGTATAGCTGGCTGTTTCCTAAAAGTGCACATACTTTTCATCCAAAGGATTTTTAATGCTGAAGATCAAATCCAGAGCCTTCTGCATGCTAAGTCCAAATGCTTTTTCACTGAACTACACATGCAGCCCTTTTTTTTGAACACTTCAAGACAAAGTCTCATTAAATTGCCCAGGCTGGCCTTAAACCTGTGATTCTCATGCCTCAGCCTCCAGAGTGCTGGGATCACAGGTATGCACCTCTGTGGCAGGGTATTTTTTTAGTGTATTTGCTGGAGTCTCACTGTTCCTTTTTTGCCCCATCACTTCTCGGGGGATGTTGTCTACTGGTGGGGACAGCCTAGGAAGGTCCATGATGAGCACAGCCTTTTTCTGGGCAGGGTTTCCCTTCAGCAGGCCTTTCTGGGCCCCACAAGTACCCAGGAAGGTTGAAGCCTTGAGCTCCAGCAGGCAGACAGGAGCCGAGGAGGAACAGGGCGACTATGGCTCAGGTAAGGGCCTGAGGAAGGGATGTGGGCACTGCCAATGCTGGGTGCTCCCTGTGAGTACAGGACTGCCAGATCCCTCTCCCTCTTCCCTCTATGGGTACCTCTGAACCTTTCTTACTCCTAGAACCCAGCCCCTGGGCCTTCGCTCTTCTTCCACACCCCGGGGGGTCCTTCCAGAAAGAAGTTTGTCTCCTTGAAATCCCTTTCCTTCTCCAGGAACTGTGGAGGTGGAGAAGGAGGCTCCAGCCAAGTGTGTGGCATCCCTTGGGGATGTGAAGCCCTTATCCACGGCAGGATGGGTCGCAGGGCAGGTCCTCCAGTACATACAGCAAGTTACCAGTGACCAGAATGCCAGGTCTGCCAGAGACACTGGGCAGCCAGCTCCTGGGGAAGCAAGACAGCCCGAGCTCACCTTGCCCAACACCTGTACCCCGAAGGCCCTGGAGGACTGCATCCTAGAGAACCCTAAGGAAGAGGAAAAGGGCATGCCTGAGAGTAACGAGGAGGGCCTGGCCCCTGATGGCGAAGTGGGCAAGAAGAGCTATAAATGTGAGCAGTGTGGCAAGGGCTTCAGCTGGCAGTCACATCTAGTCACACATCGACGCACACACACCGGAGAGAAGCCCTACACCTGCACAGACTGTGGTAAGCGCTTCAGCCGCAGCTCGCACCTTATCCAGCACCAGATCATACACACAGGCGAGAAGCCCTACACCTGCCCCTCTTGTTGGAAGAGCTTCAGCCACCACTCCACGCTGATCCAGCACCAGCGCATCCACACGGGCGAGAAACCATATGTGTGTGACCGCTGTGCCAAGCGCTTCACCCGCCGCTCGGACTTGGTCACGCACCAGGGCACACACACAGGCGCCAAGCCGCATAAGTGCCCCATTTGTGGCAAATGCTTCTCACAGAGCTCAGCTCTGGTCACGCACCAGCGCACTCACACCGGCTTGAAGCCCTATCCATGCCCCGAGTGCGGCAAGTGCTTCAGCCAGCGCTCCAACCTCATAGCACATAACCGCACGCACACCGGGGAAAAGCCCTATCACTGCCTCGACTGTGGCAAGAGTTTTGGCCACAGCTCACACCTCACGGCCCACCAGCGCACACACCGTGGCGTGCGGCCCTATGCCTGTCCGCTGTGCGGCAAAAGCTTCAGCCGCCGCTCCAACTTGCACCGCCACGAAAAGATCCACAGCAGCGGGCCCAAGGCACTGGCTGTGCTCATGTTGGGGGCAGCGGCTGCTGGGACACTGGCCGCACCCCCACCAGCCCCTACCTAAGTCGGCAGGGCAGCTGGGCTAGTCCACTGAAATAACGGCCTTGGCATGGGGAATGGAGTGGGAAGGGATGAGTGCTGGGGAGGTGCAGGAGTGGGGAGGGGCATAGTATCTGGGGAGGCGAGAAGGCACCGTGGGCAATCTAGCCAAAAATTAAAGGCCTTAGAACACAAACTCTGGCCTAAGTCTCTTGTCTTACAGGCACTGGTGCCGATCACCTGAGCACAGAGAGGGGTTGGAGCTGGGCCAACTATGTCTCCATCCCCAAGTTACTACTCTGGGCTGGAGTATCCTTATCTCCCCTTCTTCCTTTGTTTGAATTTGGTTTTGTGGCACTGAGGATTGAACCCAGCACTGAGATCCATCCTTAACCCTTTTAATTTTGAGCCAGGATCTCCCTGAGTTGCCCAGGCTGGGTTCAAGCTTGTGGTCTTCCTGCCTCAGCCTCTCACAGTGCTGGTATTACAGGCATGTACCACCTGTGTCTGTCTCCTGCCTAGCCTTGACTTCAGGTTCCTTTTGTCATAGGCTCATTCCGGAACACTGGAACCATAAATCTATAAACTAGGGCTTCTTTTTTTTTTTTTTTTTTTTTTTTTTTGTCTTTTTCATTTTTACTGGTACCAGGGATTGAACTCACGACTGCCTGCTTGCAAGGCAGGCGCTTATGCCGCTGAGCTAAATCCCCAGCCCCTAAACTAGGGCTTCTAAGTGCAGAGTTTTTAGCCTGAAGTCGGCCAGTAGGTGTAGACCTGGCAGGACTAGCTGCTGCTGCCCTCATGTTCCAAGGGCACTTGCTCACTGGTCCTGGGCTTTCCTTTGGCTCCTCTCTTTGGGAGCTGGGAGCAGGACAGAGCCAGTTTGGAAGCTGCTGTGCAGTGCTTCCTGCCTTAGGCAGAGAGCTGAATTTTGTGGTTGGCTTTTTTCAATCAGCTTCCATGAGGTGCTGCCTGTATCATAGTTAGAATTCTTCCCTGATTAAGGACCTGTTTCCCTTCTGACTCCTGCAGCTACCGCCACTGCTGCTGTTACTCTCCTTTTTGACCTAATGGGTATCTCCTTTACAGTTTGCCCTACTTATCACTGCCTAGTTCTTTTAATTCTGATCTTTTCCTGGTTTTTGCTTTCTGTAAGCTTTTATTTTCCATTTTCTCCTTTTTTTTGCCCAGAGAAGAGTAAGTTCAGCTTGTTGATCCCATATTGTGGTTTAGCTTCTAAGTTAACATTTAGCATTGACACTAACTGACCACAAGAACATCTGCACTAGGGAAGCCAGAGACCCCATCTGTTCCATGGGTCATGGGGCCAGCTGGGTGGCTGCAGCCTGGGTTGGGTCTCAGTTTCTAAGGGATGCTTGAATAATATGTCAGACTGAGAAGTGTAATCACTGCCATCTATGAAGCAGCATCTCTGCCAGCGTGATGCCAAGCCTGTGAATATATCATCTCTACTAGCCATGAGTGAGTTTTATCCCAGTTTTACAGATGAGGACACAGGTTAAGAGAGAAATCCAATCACTTATCCAGATTCATAAAATTGGATAACGAAATTGGTGTCAGATCCTGGTCTATTTGTCCTGTAAGATCGTTATGCCTTGTATCCTTGTTCACTAATACTGTGTATAATCTTATAATTTTTTTTTTGTACCAGGGATTGAATTTACAACTTCACACGTGCCAGGCAGGTGCTTATGCCACTGAGCTAGATCCCCAGCCCCCTTGTTTACTAATAAATGCATGATATTATGAGGGAGGGCTAATAGGACTAGAACAGGTAGTCTTTGACCTTCAGGGACATGGAACTCAGTGGGCCATGGGAGTGCTGTGGGGCATGAAGGCAGCTAGAAACTGGAAAACTGCGAACTGGTGAACCCAGGCTGGGCTTGGCGGTGTATGGAAGCTGTCAGTGGGGTTTAGGATTGCTGGCAGGACTGGTTGAATTGGATGGTTATTTCTTAGGCCAGCAAGAAAGCAGATTTCTCCTTAGGCTTATCCTCTTGGCTTTAGTCATTCAGCCAGAAGTGGAATTTCTCTGCTTGAGTATGATGGGTGGGTGGGGGGTTCTCACTTTAACACAGGTTGATCTCAGGGAGTTTGTTTTCTAATGGAGAAACAAGTAGGAAAGAAACTTGTTAAAATGACACTGGAGAGCCAGGGATATAGCTCAAGGCCACAGCACCTGTCTGGCAAGCACAAGGTCATGAGTTCAATCCCCAGCACCCCCCCCCCCAATTTATATTTTATATATAGAGAGAGCTATAATCACTTGTCATGAAAGGACACTTAGATAGTGAGTACTGCCTGCTTTGATTTCAGCTGCTCAGATCATGTGGACAGCCTGCTGAGACAAATCATCAGGACTTGAGCTAGTCAGAGGGCTGTCCAGTCCACAGATTCACTCAGACTTCACTGCTACACTGTGGCCTCTGGGGACCTCAGAGATCACAGTATCCAGGAGAAATATGTCCCCTTTCGTGGCAGAGTGCAGAGGAATATGGTTCAGAAGGCCCCCTGGATAGTACTTGGAGATTCCCTTCATTGGAGTTCTGTCTGCTTCTGCCTGGACATCTAGAGGTAACCAATTCTGGAAGATGTGACAAGAACATGTTCGTAGTGGAATGTGGCATTTTGGAAAATAATTGACAAGAGCAAGTAAGACTGCGGTTTGAGATAGAGGGTGTGTCAGGAGAGGTCCTCAAAAGTCAGGCTAAAGGGTGCTTATATTTGGTGGGTGTGGTATGTCCTCAAGAAGGGGGCTAGAGAGAACATCAGGCGAAGGGCCTTAGTAGGAGGACATGGGGTGAGGAGGCCAAGCTTGGCCGTATATCTTATATTTTAGCCTCTCTGCCCAGCAAAACTCCAGCTGACTGGTTTACTGCTCACCTGCGTGGTCAGGCTAAGAATGACAGCGAGGGAACAAGTCACGTTGGCTTCCCCTGCCTCCCTTTTTCTGTGGCTTGCATTCAAGGCCCAAGGGCGCTGGCTAGACCTGACTGCTCCTCTGACCTCTGCCAGGATCTCCTCCTCACCCCCACCGCCACGCCTGACCTCAAAGGAGTCGGTCACACAGGACAGGAACGAACCGGAGGGGGCAGCTTCCCTTGGCCAGTCAAGTGCCAGGGTTCCCGCAAAATTGACCAATCATGGCTGACGTTTGTGCTCACAGCCTGGATACTCCTTCCACGCCCCCAGCCGCACTGTTGCCTGGCCAACGGCTCTAGGCTCCGGCTTTAGGCTGTTAGAGTGTCCTTCGCCTGGCCACGGCTACTGGAGGAACTAGAGAGCCAGGAACTGGACGTCAAGTTCATCGCCTGGATGCTCGAACGCTCACAGCCGGCCCTGCGCTGCAGTCAGCCTCCCGGGTCAACAGCTGAGAACCGGGCCTTGAGGCCCGGGTCGCCACCGGCCTTGTGCAGTCACTTCCGGTCCTGCCCGCCGGCCTGTGGCTCTGTGGCGCCGCGGGAATCCAGGCCCCCGCTGGAGGGCTTGGAGCCGAATGTGTCCTTCTAGGGAATAGGCCGGTGTGAGTGCGGCCCCAGCCGTTGCGGAGCGGCTTCAAAGGAGACTGGGCTTTAGGAAACTCCGACGGGTAGCACGTGTAGGGGCTCTGCGGTTTAAGTAATGTGTGAGGAGCAGGGATAGGGGTTTTGCTGCCTATGCCGGTTCAGTTTTCTTTCTTTTTTTCCATTTACTATATTGATACTGGAGATCGAACGTAGGGTCACTCTGCCCCAGAGCTACATCCTCAGACCCCCCTTAAAGTTTAGCTCATATCCTTGCAAGCTAGATTATCCATGTGGGATTTGGACTTAGATCCTTCTGCCTCTCTCCCTCACTCGGTGCTGGCATTACAAGCTTGCGCCATAACACCCGGCTTCATTTTTCAAAAACAAAATGAGTGGCTATATTTTAGGCCTTTTTGCTAAATGTAGGGAAGTAACGAAAAAAATCAGTCATGATCCTTGCCCTTGGTTCCAGTCCAAGAAGAGGCAAGTGACAGATAAATGATGCATTAATGGTAGATGCCAGAAGGAATTAGGTGAAGCAGCAGAGTGTGGTAGGAACTTTGGTGTCAGGGAAGCGGGTATTTATGCTGAGATTTGACAGATGAGAAGAAGGCATTTTGTAGGGTACTGAAGGACGAACCTTTTAAGTAGAGGGAACAAGAGTCCCTGACAGGAGGAAGAGATTGGTATTCAGAAGCTGAAGTGACATCCCTTATGATCAAGGCTAGAGTGGTGAGACAGGCAAGAATAAGTAGAAGAGAGTCCTAGCTAAGGTTGCACAGGCCTGTAATCCCATCAGTTGGGAGGCTGAGGCAGGAAGATTGCAGTGAGTTCCGAGGCCAGCCTGAATTACACAGTGGGGCCTGGTCTCAAAAAGACAAAAACAGTTAATTAAAAAGAATAAGCAGGGCCAAGGATATAGCTTAGAGGCACAAGCACCTGCCTGGCAAGCACAAGGTCCTGAGTTTGATTACAGGTACAAAAAGAAAAAACGAAAGACAGAAAAAGCAGGAAACTTGATTATGAGGGTATGGCCTGAAGTTGTTCTGTGGAGGGTAGAGTAGAGAATGGGGAGGAGTCCAAACTTCCTCATACTCCTGAGCTCTGGCAGGCCTGCCTGTGTTGAAAGGCAGCACTTACTAGCCTACTTTAGTGACTTCCTTTCTATTCTCAAGTAAGGGCTAGCCATGAATACAAGTCTCACAAGGAAGACAGGCTTGGTGGTACACACCTGTAATCCCAGCACACTGGAGCCAGAGGCTGACATAGGAAAATCACTGGGGGTTTGAGGCCAGTCTGAGCTACATATTGAGCTACTCTGTCTCAAAACACTAAACAATAAACAAAATACATCTTACAAGAAAAAGAAAGAGCTTTTCTAGGATTTTGATGATACTAGCACTAAACCTTTCTCAAAGACTTAGTGAAGGCAGTGTCTCTGGTAAAATGGAGTTGGAGTTGGGGTGAGTATATAGGTCACATGCACAAACTCATTCAATGTTTCTATCACCTTAAGCCTTTGAATTCACTTCCCATCATGCCACTTGCAGCTCTGGCATCTCATTAACTTAAGGCCTCCTTGAGTCCAAATTTCAACCAACCAAAAGGAGAAACTGAAAGCCGTCTACCACTATACAGGCTAACATTAAATTCCAAGTCTCTAATAAGTGCTTTTTCAATGATATTACATGGCTACAAGAAATTTCTGGACTGCCAGGGAAGTTCTCTGGTTCTCAGTGACTTGAACTGAGTTAAGGAGTCTAAGCTTGTCATTTTTGAAAGAGTTTTCAGCACGGTGAAGACTGAATATAAAGTGCCCTTTATTTTAAAGATGTGAAGAGAAGCTCCATGACCGCCGGGGCCTGGCTTTCTCTCTTCTGGACACGTGGTGTGGGACATACATATAGCTTAGGTTGGGGTGATGCCTAAAGGGTATTACTGATGCACAAGTAGCCCACTGGAATTCATTTCCGCCACAGGTAAATTGCCTAGGAGCGGGGAAGATGACCTCAAGATAGAGCCCCTTGGTTCCGCCTCCCACCACTGCAGTGTCCAGGGCAAAATCCTTTCAATATTCTCACAGTGAAAGTTTATGTAAAATAATGAAGTCTAAGTAATGTATCTCATGCCACATTCATATCACTGACATCATAGTGGTCAAGTGCAGCAGCCACTTGTCTCAATGCAAATGCTTTAGTTAGTTGAAATCAACTTTAGGCAATGACTTGATTAATTGTGATATTACTGCATGTGATGGATAGTCAGTATCCCATGTAGCCCAGAAAAAAGGGGCTAGTTTGTGCTTTCGATATGTATGGTCACAGCGGATAGCTGATTATACATAGTAGGGTGTGTCTGTTGAGAGTGTTTCTGGAGATTAGCATTTGAGTTGGTGGGGTGAGTAACGCAGATGACCCTCCCCAGTGAAGGGAGGCACTGTCCAGTCCACTGAGAGCTGAGTGAACAGAAAGACAGAGGAAAGTTGTGTTTATCACGCCTGAGTGTCTGAGGTGGGGCATGATCTGCCCATGGATCCCCACTGACATTGTGACTGCAGTTCAGGGAAGATCCTTAGCCATGACTACCCAGTAAGTAGCAGCTCCCAAATTTCTGAATCAAAAAGGGTAGGGAAAATCAGGCAAGGTGATGTGCACTTGTGATCCCAGCACTAAGGAGGTGGAGGCAGGAGGGACTGTAAGTTTGAGGCTAGCCTGGGCTACAGAGCAAAACTGTCTCCAAACCAAAGAACCAATGTGAAGTCCTTTTTTTTTTTTGGTACCAGGAATTGAACTCATGACTGTGCGCTTGCAAGGTAAGTGCTTATGCCACTACGCTAAATCCCCGGCCCCTAAGTACCTTTGTATTATTATTTCAAACTATGGTTTGGAGTAACTTTTTACATAGCATAGATAACTAATCCATTAGTATTCTTTTGTGTTTGTGGGGCATTTGAATCACAAGTGCGAGGTCTTCACTAAAAGATGTGTCACTAAAAGATGTGTCATTGGGCTAGGGATGTAATTCAATGGTAGAGTGCTTGTCTAGGTTGTATGAAGTCTCAGTCCCCAGCACAAGACTTCTAAAGATTACACAATATATGTATGCATCAAATCTACCATGATGCCTCTTAAAACATGTGTATTTTTTATCTTTTTATGTGTCAGTTAATATAGATTTTAAAATTCTTTTAAAAATGTACCCCAAAAATGTACCTTTGTGTTTGTGGGTCTGTCTGTCTGTCTGTCTTTGTGTGTGTGCTACTGGGATTGAACCCAGTGCCTTTTCCCTGAACTGTGTCTCCAGCCCTTTTTTCTTTTCCACATTTAGGATTTTTTATTTAGTTTTCTAGCATACAGTTTATACATACCTTCACCCTTTCCTAAACTTAGTGTAACAATTCCATAATAAAATACTTAAAGAAAAGCTTTGGTCAAGAATGAGATAAAAGCACAAAGCCAAAATGAAACAAAACTTCTTCCTTGGGAAAAACAACAACACTTTCACTGATTTTATTCAAGTAAAAACATAAAATATTTGTGGGATTTGTGGTACAGTGATTCCTTGAGGCTGGCAGAGTCTCAGCCACCTACTGTTCTCAAGCTGAATGACAGCACTCAGCTTCTCATTAGTTAGAGGCCCTGGATGGAAGACTTGAAATTCCATATTGTCATGGCTTCATTGATTCCAGTAGTAGAAAACTTGAGACAATCTTGTTTCCCCACCTCATGAAGAGACAGTTGAGTGATGGCACTCGGGTACAGTATCTCCAAGGCTGCACTGTGGTTCTCCGTCATGGCCTAGACCATGCATGATGAATCCTCAGGCTCACCAAGGATGACTCCTGGGCACCATCTTCCTGACTCTAGACATAGCCATTGTGGCCTGCTTTGTGAGTGATGAACCAGTCACTCCTAGGAGCCCAGCCGGTACCTGGGTGCTCTGGCTCTCCTTGAGCTTTTACCTGCTGGCTCCCTCTCTTCATGTAGACAGGCATTTCATGATTATTGGGCTAAGTGCAATCTGGGTCCTATCCCTGTCCCAGGCGTCACAGGTGATAGGTTCTAGAGAAAAATGGACACAGGGACCTTAGTGTTTTCAAAGGATGGAAAGCTGAGGCAGAGGCAGTCCAGGGAGGCTCAGAGCAGAAAATTCGTGGACTCTGGTCAATTGATGCCAATAGGTACCTGTGGATGTGAGCAGAAATGGAGGCCTGAAGTGAGTGACCTTGTTTTTTACTCTTTTGGCCGGGATGGGAGACAGGATCTAACTGTGTAATCCAGGCTGGCCTTGAACTCACTATGAAGCCTGGGCTGGCCTCAAACTTGTGTTGATCTTTCTGCCTCAGCCTCCTGAGTGATGGGATCACACATGTGCACCATCATGCCTGGCATCTTTTTTGAAACAGGGTTTTACTAAATTATTAAGTTGTCCAGTCTGGGGTAGAACACAAGTCTTCCTGCTTTACCCTTCCACAGTGTTGATGTCAGGGCACAGTTATAGAATAGAAAATTTATAGATATTTTATAGCAAAGTTAAAAATCAATTAGTGATCTGTGACTACATTCCTGCTGCTTGTCACCTAGTTAGCCTGCTAAATTCAGTTAGCCTTGACTGTCTGCATCTAGCTGCTTGTCCCTGATAATGTGCTGGGTCAACTTGACTGTGTCCAGCTGCAAGGCTTGTATTTTTCCTTGCTTAGAAAAATGTGTATTGTTTCCAACTTGCTTCAAGGGCTTCATGTTTGGGACAGCCTGGCCCGGTCAAGGACACATTTAATTCTTTTTTTTTTTTTCTTTTTGAGACAGAGTCTTTCTATGCAGTTCAGGTTGGCCTCCAGCTCACTTTGTAGCCCAGGTTGGTCTTGAACTTGCAACAATCCTCCTGCCTCAGCCTCCCGAGTGCTGGGATTACAGGTGTGAGCCATCATTCCCATCTTAAGACACATTTAATTCTACTTGCTCCTCTCATATTCCCTCCCGTTTCTAGGAATCGATTTAGGACTAGTTTGCTTGACAACACATGACTTAATTCATGTAACCAATTATGTAATAACTTGCCAGCAGCCTTGTACTGCCTGCTTGCAAACTGTATTTAAACTGAACTCTAAACTGACTCTTGACTGGTGATTTGGAACTGATTCTCAGCAGCCCAGTAGCATAATAATAAAAGTTGCCTTCTTGCTGGGATTTAGCTCAGCAGCTTAAGCACCTGCTGGGCACGTGTAAGGTCATAAGTTTGATTCCCAGTATTTAAATAAATAAATACTGCCTTCTAACTCTTTGGTGCAGAGTCTTCCCTTAGATTTGAGATATTTCAGATGTGCACATGTGTCTGGCTACATCTGACTTTCAACTCAATAGTTCACTTCAGTGATATAAACTGCAAAATATTGTCAGGTTTAAGAAGGATACACAGATTGGACTGGGGATGTAGCTCAGTGCCAGAGGACTTGCCTAGTGTATGCAACATCCTGGATTCAGTCCTCTGCACCACCCTGCAAAAAAGTCTATGTACTAGGTGGAGGTGTAGCTCAGTGGGATAGTACATGCTTACCATGTGCAAGGCCCTGGGTTTAAACTCACACATGCACACATGCACACACACATACATACACACACACAATTATCTATCTATCATCATCATCACTTATCTATCTATATGCAGCATTTTTTGTTGTTGTTGTTGTTTGTTTTTGTACTGGGATTGAACCCATGACATCAAGTTTGCTAGGCAGGCACTTGTGCTGCTGAGCTAATTTTTTTTTAATTTTTAATTTTTGGTACTGGGGATTGAACTCATGATCTTGTGCTTGCCAGGCAGGCACTGAGCTAAATACCCAGCCCCTGCTAAACTAATCTGCAGCATTGTTAATGGCAGGAGAAAAATACTCCCTGAAAGTTTTAAACTAGGTGTGGTGGTGAATGTCTATAATCTCGGCACATAGGATGATCAAGAGTTCAAGGCATGGGGCTGAGGATTTAGCTCAGTGGCATAAGCACTTGCCTGGCAAGCGTGAGGTTGAGAGTTTGATCCCCAGTACCAAAAAAAACCCAAACCAAAACAACAAGAGTTCGAGGCAGAGGTGGACAACATAATAAATTCAAGACAGGCCACAAGCCAGCTGGGATAGCACAACCCTATGATCCTAGCACTTGGAAGGCTGAGGAGGCTGAGGCAGGAGGAGCATCATGAGTCAGCCTGAACTATATAGGGAGACCCTATTTTTTAAAAAAAGGGCAGGGGGCAGGGATTTAGCCCAGCAGCATAAGCATCTGTCTGGCAAACGCGAGGTCATGAGTTCGACCCAAAAAACTTAAAAAAAAAAAAAAAAAGGCCCCTAGTGCATAGTACATTTCTTGTTTCAAAAACAAGAAACCAAAAGATTTTAGTAAATTTTAATGTTATACACAATTTGTATCACTGAAAAATCAAAGAAAATTCCATCACATTTCTGCCACATACTCTTTAGACTTCATAATGAGTGCAATATGGTCTTTATAGATGGAAACTAGAAAGAGGCCTTTCGGTTTGCCCTCAGGGCTTCAATTTTAATTGTCCCACTTAAGGTAAGGAACTAAGCTCCTGCCAGTGCTGTTTCAAAAGACTGTAGGGTGTGGCTGAAGCTGGAGATGAATCGCTTGTGGGGCTAAAATAAAGCCAGCCCTGAGAACAATGAGCCCAAAAGGAGCCACATAAACAAACTCCTAGAAGGCAAAGTGCCCAGGCAAGCCAGGTAAACAAGTTGCTAGGCAGGGGTTGAAATTGACATCAGTCTCCTGAGCTTGTAAATAAACATACTACAGATCTTGAGCAGTTCCTTTCTCATCTTTTTTTTTTTTTTTTTTTTTTTTTTGTGGTACCAGGGATCAAACTCATGATCTTGCACTTGCCAGGCAGGCACTTACACCACTGAGCTAAATCCCCAACCCTTATTTTCCCATCCTCCCTCCTCTTCCCAATATTTAGAGCTGCAGCCAGACACAGCAAAAGACTCTGTGGCTAGGCTTAGTGTTGCATACCTTGTAATCCCAGTTACTTCCGAAGACTGAGGCAGAAGGATAGCAAATTAGAGTCCTACCTGGGCAATTTAGCAAGATCTTGTTTTAAAATAAAAAATAAAAACAGGTATGGTGGCACACACCTGTAATCTCAGCACTCAGGAGGCTGAGACAGGAGGACCACCTTAAATTAGAGGCCAATTTGAACTACATAGAGAGTTCTGGGCCAGACTTTACTACAAAGTGAGATCTTGTCTCAAAAACCAAAATGAATAAATAAACAAAGTAAATCTGTGATACCCATGGGCAATCTGCAGTACCACAACAAATAAAACAATATAAACCTATGTATGGGTTTATGGTGAATTGAATAATGACTGAAAGGTACCAGGTTGGAACCTGGAACCTGAAATGTGATAGAGTTAAGGATCCTGATGTGAAGAGATTATCCTGGGTCCTAAATGTAATGACAGTGTTTTTATAGAAGAGGGTCAGAGGGGGATCTGACTATGGGACAGAGAAGAGGTGACAGAAGCGGAGCTGGAGGAAGGCTTTAAACATGGTGGAAGAGGGCCAGGGATATAGCTCAGTGGCATGGCACTTGCCTGGTAAGCACAAAGTCCTGAGTTTGATTTCTGATACCCTCTCTCCCCTCCAAATAAAAGATGGAAAAAGAGACCACAAGCCAAGGAATGCAAAAGCCCTAACCTGGAAAAGACAGATTTCTCAAGAACCAGCCCTATAGACACCTTCAATTTAACCCAGTAAATAGATTTCAGACTCCTGGCCTTTGAAATGGTAATAAATTTGTATTACTTTAAAATGGTGGAGCTTGCCTGCCTGTAATCCTAGTACTCAGGAGGTCAAGGCAGGAGGATTGCTGGAGTTTGAAATCAGTCTGGGCTACAAAGTGAGTTCAAGGCCAGCCTGAACTGCTTAGTGAAACCCTGTCTCAAAAAGACCAAGAAAAAAAACGTGTGTTATGTTAAACTGCCAAGTTTGTGATAATTTATTACAGTGGACTCAAGAAAATAATACACTTGCCCACTTAAAAACAGTGACTTTGCTATTAACAGGTTACACTATCAAAAATAGCCACTTGCTATTAACAGGTTACACCAACTATGTGATTAAAACACAAAAATACTCATGTAGTTAATGATCCTGTGATACTTAGGACTCTCTGATTGCCACAGAGAAAGCCAACAAAAACAAACCCAAAAGGGGATATTTTTGTAAATAGACAAAATCATCTCATGGAACATGTGGGTCTCAGGTAGGACCTAGGGCCTCTGTAGGCACATTCTTATTTATTGATCTTGTGCCTAGAAAACCAGAGGAAACGAAACTTCTGCCAGTTCATGAATATATATACTATAGTGCAGCCACCCCAAAAGCGACTGGAATCTTCTCTAGGTCCTGTTCTGGACTCTAGCAGAGAGAAGCTATTGTCTAACAATGGCCTCCTTCCCCCAAGGAACAAGGAAGGGTGGTGTGCAGTGGAGAGATTCACGCCTAGAGGGGCATTACAGCTAATATCCTTGCACTGGCAATCCAGGAACACACCCTTCAGTCCCACAACAGGACCGCACCTGGAGGAATATTGCCTTCAAACTGCCTGCGCCTTGCTGTTTTAGGAAGACTCCCGTGGTTCCATGCAGGTGCTTACTGATTTATCTAGGTCAGTGATGGCGAACTTTTTAGAACTTTCAATACGAATAAACAGGCCTCTGCGGCAGGCACGCTGTCGTTTCGCCACAGCTGACGTGGGGGCACATGATCACGTTCCACAGCGCCTCGTGCACAGAGCACTGCTCTCTCTACGGTCGCTCAAGACAAGGCCTCTGGCACTGCCCAGTGCACTAAGGCAGTAGAACACACAGTTACTTTTCATTGCAAGAAGGATCTCTTCTGGAGGGGAATCTGGAAGGTCCTGGTGATTTGACTCGCATGGAAATTTGAGGGTTCTGGAGTGCGGGACCATGTGATGTTCATCTGTGCCACAAGAGGGCGCAGAAGGAACGCTGCCAGAGCCGTAGCGAGAGACTTTCGCCTACCCAGCGCAGTTTTTCAGGGAGCTGGTAGAGGGCGGTGGAGGGAGCCCCAGTGCCACTGTTTGCCACCCTTTCAGGTGGCAAGTACAGTATTGTACAGTACAGTATTGTAAGTACAGTATTGTATCTCCGACTGTCAGCTGTATGATTTTTTTGTTTTTTCTTTTGCGAACCTAGAGCCTTGGCAGTAAACTACATTGTCACCCCTTTTTTATTTTTTACCCTTGAGATGGAGTCTTGCTAAGTCTCCAAGTTGTGGCTGTGCAACTAGAATGGGCTAGATAACTAGAATCCATTGAATTTCCAAGCCTTCTGCCTCAGTTTCGCAGAGTGCTGCAATTACAGGGATAAGGCAGCAGGCCTGACCAGCGGTGTATTCTTCTGGCAGCCATTCATTCTTAAGAAGTCAGGATCTCTGCCTCGAGTAGAAAGAAGAGAGGCTCCTTAGAGTTTCTTTCTTTTTACTCACTTGATTGTAAGGGCAGAAGTTGCTTCTGAGAGTTTTGACTTAAAACTTTTAATTGTCTTACTCACTTTTGCAAATTAACAATTTTTAAAAAGTGTGTGTGTTTTTGTAATGAGACAAGGTCTTTCTATGGTAGCTCCAGGCTGGTCTTGAACTCACTTTGTAGCTGAGACGGGCCTTGAATTAATGGCAGTCTTCCTGCCTCAAGCTCTGGAGTGCTGGCCCAGTGAGATGACTCATGTTAACACAAAATCCATTTATGCCTTAGATGATAACACAGGGTGCCTTCTGGGACCAGGAATCCTGAAGATGGAGGTCAAGGGATCAGATTAAAAGAGGAAACTAGAGGCTACCTACCCAGGAGAGTGGGAGGGGAGGAGAAGAAGCAGATCCTGGAGGAAAGCAGGCAGGAGAGCCATGTGAAAAACCAGCTGAGAGCCAGAGGAGCCTAGCAGTCCTGCACCAGACACCCTCCTGTCCCACTGCTCCTTCTGGGATCACTGTTTTGTTTGTTTTCTGAGACAGTCTAGATAGATGGCTCAGATTGGCTTTGAACTCGAGATCTTCCTGCCTCAGCCTCTGGAGTTCTGGGATTGCAGATGTGGTCACTACAATAGCTGCAAATTAACAATTCCTTATATCAAATTTTTTCTATTCAAGTTAATTGTAATGTGATTTCTCTCTCATTGGAGTGAACAATACAATGGGAGAAAACATTAACAACCACAAAATTTTGAAAACAGTTTAAGAAACAGAAATCTATACTGTATTACAACAAACAAACAAAAACTCAGGAGAGCTGGGAAGGTAGTTCTGTGGTACAGCACTTGCCTAGCATCTTGGAGGCTCTGGGTTCCAACCCTAGCACTACAAAAATAAATCCTTTACAGAATTTTGAGATATATGAACTGAATGTATTTCTGGATGGGAACACATCATTGCAAAAATGTCATTTCTTCCCAATATTAATTTAATGAAATGTAAATGATAAGCTTTAGAATTTGATAAAATTCTCCTGAAATTAATCAGGAAAAATCCATTAAGTTGTAAGAAAATTTGGGTGTGTTTTTTTGAGACAAAGTGTTGCTATACTGTATTATGTACGCTAGTCTCAACTCACACTCAAGAGATCTTCCTGCCTCAGACTTCCTAGTTCTGGCACTACAGGTACACAACTGAGACTGGCTAAGAAAAATTTAAATTCAGGAATTTATCGTATCAAAATTTATTACAGAGGAGGGTTTGAGAGGAGGGAGGGGAATGGAGAAAAAAGAATCAAATTATATAATTTACAGGTACATATAAATATGATCATTATGTATACCCAAAATGTACCAATAAAATCTGACTTAAAGAACCTTAATTAAAAGGAGTTGGGGCTATATCTCAATGGTAGAGTGCTTGCTTAGCATGCTCAAGGACCTGCATTTGATCCCCAACACCTCCTTCAAAAATAAATTTAATAACTTATTACACTGAGTTCAATTCCCAGTACAAAAAAGGGGGGAAAATTCTATTATAAACTAAAGGCATGTAAAAAGCAGTAAAACATAACTGAAAATTCTGAAACAAACACATCTGTAATAAAATTTAGATATAAAATAGGAAAAAAAAATCAAAAAAGTATGGAATGATAGGTGCTGGGGATTTAGCTCAGCAGCATTAGCGTTTTTATCAGTACCAGGGATCAAACTCACAACCACCTGCTTGCAAGGCAGGTGCTTATGCCGTTGAGCTAAATCCCCAGCCCCAATTAGTACCTTTTTTACCTTCATGCATTTAACAAATTTTAGTGATCACCTACCATGTGCCAGTACAATCATAGGCTCTGGGAGTAGTGCAGTAAACTGCTTGCATGTAGCTACTTATAGTTGAGTATCCTAGACTGACCAGGCCTGCAACCTCCAAAACCAGGGGTCAGTGAAGGTTTAAATAGATGAGATAAGTGGTATGACTTTAGGGTTCCAGGGGGATCAAAAACCTGTAGCAGAACTCAAAATTCTGGGGGCTGAGACAAAGAACTTCTGAGTGGACTACATTTGTTTGGTTTTCAAACGAAGGGAGGGATTACTGAGAAAAACAAGATACTGAGCAGGACCAGTTCAAAGACTTCTCCAAGTGATAAATTATTTTAATTTAGAACTATTTTATCTCCAGGTTGATATTTACAGCAGGACTGAGACGGCAGGAGTGAGATGCCTGCAGCTCCAGTCTGTATCTAGTTAACTGGGGTTGGAACCAGGTGTTCTCAGCTATTTTGTCCTTTGAGGCATCTCTGGCATCACAGGTCACTAATGGCTCAGCCAGGATCAGTAATTCATAGAGGTTCACTTACTATGAATCCACTGTCCATCTCAGGAAAGGGATTTAGGCCTAGGACAGACTCACAAGTAAACATAAAAAGCAATTGGTTAAATTTATTTGTCTTTTTCTTTTTTATCGGTACCAGGGATCGAACTCACAATGCTGCTCAGAATCGCTTCGTAGTTGTCTCTATTAGTTGAGAAGTGAGAGACACACAGTGTACAAATACATGTGAGGTATATATAAATGTTAGGGAGAGACAACAGGGAACAGACTCTAGAGTGCATTAAGGAAGGCCTCTTTGAGGGTGAAATCTGAGCAAAGTGAGGGAATTTAGCCAGTAGATACAGAGAAATACCTTTACAATTTGCCAGTCTTTCTTAACTTTTCTACACTAAGTATGCAGTACGTGCTTAACCACAAGCTCTTTGCATTTCAGAAAGCTCTGTAACCTGAAGTCTCTGGGTCGAGGCGGCAGGCGGTGGGAACCAGTGTCGAATGTAAGACAACCCCGAGATTCCCAGGTAGGTTCCTAGGACTCCCGCCTCTCCTCAGCGCCGCGTACACGGAGCTGCTGGTGCAAGAGCACAGGTCTTCGTCAGGCCATCGCTGACCGACAGAATCGTTTAAGGAAGCTCCGCACCCCCACTAGGCTTTATTTTCCAGTATGTCCTGCGATCTGCTAAGGGCAAAGACTAAGGAAATATGGGAAACTGGAGGCTGGAAACGAGTCTCTTCGCCCGACTGCCTCTCGCGGTCAGTGGACCCAGACTACACACACTCGGCCAGTGAGCAGGAGTCCAGAAGAAGAAATAGTCCATCTTAGCACATCCCTTCCGATGGATCAGGCACTCCAGGTCCAGTGTTTGGACCAGACAAGCGCTCTCCGCTTGTCAGGCCGGCTCTTGCTTCCTCTTTTTCGCCATTAAGGGACTGCAAGAGCAAAGAAATCACAAAGAAAAGCGGAGGCCAAAGACACGGTGAAGCGATAATCTTGTCCCTTCCTTCCAGGTGCTGGTATTGACGCTCAAATTGTCGCTGCTTTCTGATTGGCCAGACCTGAAAGTTCTCCCAGTTCATTGGCCATCTGTCAGTGTAGCAGAAGAGCGTTCTGGGTGGTATAATCTCAGACACTTGCAGCAGCGCATGCGTTGTTTAGTTTCCCCGCGAGCCCCACCCGAACTTCCGGCGCCGGAACTGTGAACACTAGATCGGCCGGGGGCAGTTTGTCCCGGGGGCGGAGACCAGGGGGGCGTGAGGCCAGGTTCTGAGGCTTGAAGGTTTATCTCTGGGTACTCGGGGCGGGCGTCCAGAGGTAGAGGCGAAAGTGGGGCGCACTCTGCTGGGACGCACAGGTCGCCCTGGTGTCCTGTGCTGGCTCGGTCTGTGGGCAGACACCCCTGCGCGCCCGCAGCCCCTCGGTTCCGCGCGGGGGAGGTTGCTGGGGACAGCGCGGGGCTTCGGCCAGGTCTGCGTCCCCGCCTGCTGCGCCCTGCCGAGCGATCCTGGTGAGTCCTGATCCTCTCCGAGGAGACTTCTTTGATCACTGGAGGATGAGAATGGTGCGCATACCTTTCAGGAATCTTGTGAGAAACACAAGAGTAAATAAAGTGCTTAATATATAGAGAAGAATTGGAAACAACCTGAATGCCTCACTCGGGTGTTGGTTAAGAAAAAGGAACATATCTACACCTTGGAAACTCAACAGTGCCACTAAAGAAGCATTGCTAGGCGGAAAAAGCAAAATACAAAGTAGTATGTACAGTAAATCTCGTTTGTGTAAAACACATCAAGCATTTCTTGTCCATTTGTATGAATAAGTTTTCAGTAAAAGCACAGGGAAAGTTTTGGGATATAGTATGTCAGACTGTCAAAGGGAAGGGATGTGCAACCACATTGAGGAACTCTATTTGATGTACTTCTGCATTGCTTAAATTTCCCTCTTTTTATTATGGTGTTTGTGATGATCTTATTGTGGAAACAAAATTCATAATACATGAATCAGAACTGTTGTAATGACAAAATATCAGATTTATTTTACGTATATATTTAGTTATACATAAATGGATGTTGGTGGTGTCTGTGAGCCCTTCTCTGACACCTTCAACTCCAATGGCTAGATAAATTTTAAAAGTCGTTTCTTTTTGAGACAGAATCTGCTTATGTAGTTCAGACTGGCCTTGAACTTGTGGCAATCTTCCTGCCTCAGCCTCCTTCCTGAGTGTTGGCATTGCAGGCATGAGCCACAATACCCAGATTGAAACCTGAAATACGATTTTAAATTTAAGAAACAATACAGTGCCCATAGTGTATTAACATCTCTAGAGAGATTTAGGGCTTCACTTAACCATTAAAACTTTAGTTGAATTATATACAGTAAAACATTATAACTCAGTAAATCTTTACAAAATGAACAAATGTTAGTATTTATGTCATAAAACACAAGTATGATAAACCCGGTAATGTACAAATATGCTTATATCAGTAGGTGCTGCCAAATGAGAGACTAGGATTTGCAGTTCAACAAATCCTGGAAAATCCAGCTTTGGATTTCATACTTGGGAAAGGGGTCATGGGCCTGTATTAGCAGGAGGGACAGTTTTGTACAATGAGATATAATAATAAGTCCTTTGAGAGGCTTCAGGATTACAAAAGGACAGGTACTAGAGTTCCTGGACATCCTTTGAAGCTGGTATTTGTGCCTGTATTCCACCTTCCTCAAATCCTGCTGTTTTGCTCTTTTCCTAGGAGTGCATGTCCAAATGCCAGCCTGGCCACCACAGGGTATCCTTCTGGACAACTAAAAGGGTCAGCTCTGAAGCCCAGGCTGAGGCCAGCCAGCCCTGAGCCTTAGACCAGGGGAATGGCAGCTGCCCAGGAGCCCCAGGACCAGGCTCCTGGGGAGGGAGAAGGACTTCTGATTGTGAAAATAGAAGATTCCTCCTGGGAGCAGGAAACTGCCCAGCAGGAGGACAGCAGAGATTCTGAGGCCTGCCGCCAGCGCTTTCGTCAGTTCTGCTACGGGGAAGTAGGTGGGCCACATGAGGCCTTTAGCCAGCTTTGGGAGCTCTGCTGCCGCTGGCTGCGGCCAGAACTGCGCACCAAGGAGCAGATCCTGGAGCTACTAGTGTTGGAGCAGTTCTTGACAGTGCTGCCGGGGGAGATCCAGGCCCAAGTGCGGGGACAGTGCCCAGGGAATGGTGAGGAAGCTGTTGCCTTGGTGGAGGACCTACAGAAGCAGCCAGTGAAGGCCTGGTCACAGGTGAGGGGCCCTTCCTCCATCCACGGCCACCTGGATGAAAAGTGGAAAGTGGCTGTCTCCGTGGAGATGCCTCTCAGGAAGGTCATGGGGCAGGGGACACACTAAGTCTTAGCAAGTATACAGGAAAGCACGACATAATACTTGTTGCCTTTCTGAAAGATGAGCCTAGTGCATTTTATTTTTGGTGACTTCATTGGTCAAAGTGGGCATATTCCATACAGGTTCTACAAACATTTATTCATGTTCTGCTCTAGGCCAGGCCCTGGGGATACAGTGAGATGCAGGAGAGCACCAGAGGAGTATGAGATGGGAGAGCTGTCTGCTGGCAGTCTGTTGTCCTGTGGGTTGGGTCTTGGCACTGGAACCATCTGGGGAGGTACTAATGAGCAATGTGCATATGCGGTTTTGCCCTTAGTATAGGAGATTCTCCAACTTTTTGCTTTGCTAAGCGGATATGAACTTGGCTTTTGGGGTCTGCTTCTTGCCTTGTGATTGATCAAGGGGTATTCTTAGGCACACACTACTGCGTTATGTCACGTTTCCCTCTAGGTTTTCCTGGGGCTCCATCTTGATCTCCTTCCCCACACCCCAGCCTCCTCAGGGCCATGTTTCTGTGTCTTTTTCCCAGGGACTAACCTCTGTCTCCCCTGTGTGGTCTAAGTGCTGATGAGCATGTTGTGGTTCCTGCACAGGATGTGCCCTCAGAGAACGAGGAAGCTGAGGCTATGATCCAGACCTCCCAGGCCAAGGGGATGGTGGGGATATGGAGCCGGCTGCCTGCTTCCCAGGATCAGCCTGGCTATCGTGGTGAGTAAACGCTGTCCTTGTAGATGGCAAAGTGACTGAACAGGGGCCTCATATTGCCCTAAAGGTAACATTTGTATTCTGAGAAGCCCAGTCATGTGTGCATGTGTATGTGTGCTTGTGCATGTGTGTACATTTGCATACGAAGAGGAGGCTAGATGGCCTCAGTCCTGGACCTGGAGTGGCCTCTCAGAGGCTCTATTCTTTCCCTTCAGCCCAGCTTCCTGCTCTTCTTAAAGAGGGGAATACCAGAGAGACAACAGATGCCTGCTTTGCCTCTGGGGTCCATGTGAGTTACTAGTACCTTTATCTTCTCTGAGACCCTCAGGATGTTGAATCTATAAAATGGGCCTTGCCATGGGTGGGTGTAGTGCACATTTGTAATCCCTTCAGGAGACCAAGGCAAGAGATTGCAAACTGAAGGCTAGCCTGGGGTACATAGTAAGATGCTGTTGCAAAACATTAAAATATAAAATGGGTCTTGCTTTCTTCTCTAGACCTTTTTTATCTTATCCATCCTACCCCCACTCACAGTTGCTGAGCAAGGCAGTGTGGTGGCCTCAGTCAGATCTTCTCATTCCAGGCACCTGTGGCATTGGGAGACATTCCCTTCTATTTCTCAAGGGAAGAGTGGGGTTCCCTGGACCCTGCTCAGAGGGATCTCTTCTGGGACATAAAGCGGGAGAACTCACGGAACACCACCCCGGGTAAGTGGGGCCAGGAAGGCCCCCATCTTGCCACTATCCCTAATTCTCCCTTCTGTGTTCTTTAGCTGAATCCAAAGTGAACTTTTCTCAAGTTCCTTTGAGAGCCTTGGGTCATTTGTGGTGTTGACCTTTATTTTCATGTGTATTAGGTGACAAGTATCAAAGGTGACTAATTCTGATTGCTTATAAGGGTATTTTCTCATTGAATTCTCACAAAATGATGCACGGAAAAATTGCCCACAAGTAATAGAAGAACTTGGGGCTGGGGATTTAGCTCAGCGGCATAAGCACCTGCTTTGCAAGCAGGCAGTTGTGAGTTCGATCCCTGATACCGTTAAAAACAAAAAAGACAACAACAAAAAAAAAGTTTGAAACTCAAAAAGGCCAATGAATATGGAAGGGACAGAGCCAGGACTCAGCCAAGCTTGGTTGTGAGGCCACCTACCCACCAGCTGCAGGAATGTCAACAGCAAGAGCCAGTCTACCCTCCCCCCATTAGAAGCCACCATTCCTCCTTAAGCCAGGATGTTATTAGCTTGGTTTATTGGGCATCATCTCCTTTAATCTGCATCGCTTCATGGGCAGGCTGAGGTCTCTCCCTGTCCCAAGCTGCTTGTGTTCTTGAGTTTAAAGAGTTGGACCTTGGGAAGTGAGGAGACCTACAGATGAGCAAACTTGGTGCCTCAGTTTCCTCCAGTGGGAGTGTGGATGAGCTGATCTCTTGGTTGGATTCTGGGACTGGACCTTAGTTCTTCTGGACCTGGTTCAGAGAACCAGGCAGAGGTGGGAGGGGAACTGGGCCAGGGGCATGCAGAGTGGGTGCCTCTGAAAGTAGGACCTGAGGCTTACTCTAATCCTGACCTCTGTAAGACTTACATTATCATCCTGTTTTATAGAAAAGGAAACTGAGGGTCTCCTGGTTGAACAAAGCCAGGGAGCTTTCCCTGAGCCACCTTTCTCCAGAGAAAGAGACCTTTGGGACTAAAGGAGCCATCTGTACCCCACCCTTTGCAGGTCTGGGGCTCCAAAGTCAGAGCAAGAAGGTCCTGCTAGAGGAGGTGGTGAAGGTACTGCCAGGTCAAGCTGATGGCGAAGGAACTGTGTCCTGGAACCCCAGGGATGCTGAGGCCTGGGAGAAAGAGCACCAGCCTGCGGTGTCCCTGGGCCGGCCAGTGGGGGCACGGCGGGGGCGACCACCAGCACGCCGGCGCCAGTTCCGGGACCTAGCTGCAGAGAAGCCGCATAGCTGTGGGCAGTGTGGGAAGCGTTTCCGTTGGGGCTCAGATCTGGCTCGCCACCAGCGCACGCACACTGGTGAGAAGCCACACAAGTGTCCAGAATGCGACAAGAGCTTCCGCAGCTCTTCGGACCTGGTACGACACCAGGGTGTGCACACAGGCGAGAAACCCTTCTCTTGCAATGAGTGTGGCAAGAGCTTCAGCCGCAGCACCTACCTGGCTGATCACCAGCGCATCCATACGGGCGAGAAGCCCTTTGGCTGCAGTGACTGTGGCAAGAGCTTCTCACTGCGTTCTTACCTGCTGGACCACCGGCGTGTGCACACTGGCGAGAGGCCTTTTGGCTGTGGCGAGTGCGACAAGAGCTTCAAGCAGCGTGCCCACCTCATAGCCCACCAGAGCCTTCATGCCAGAATGGCTCAGCCTGTGGGGTGAGCAGCCAGTGGGAACCATGCTGCCTCCTTTGACCCCTTGGGGCTTCACCCGTCTTCGGGCACTTCCTGGCCTACTGGAGTGAGTCAGACTCAAGGCTGCCCTACCTGCCCCTAGGACATACTTGCACACTTTGGAACAGAAGTCTGGCTGACTTTGTCTTCTCTTTTGTTCTGTGTTTCTCTTTTCCTTAGTTTCCTGGGGCCTTAGTGTATTCCTTGCAGGGGCAGCAGGTAGTGTGAGGATTCAGGCAGGGTCCAGGGCTTCTTCCCAGACCCCCTCAGCTAGATGTGGCCACTTGATTGTTGTTTCCTGTCCTCTCAGGTGAGTCTGGGCCACACCCCCTACCCTGCCCACCTGTGCCTTCTGTGGGAGTGGAGGACTAGCCTCGGCATCCCCAGAGGACAGCTTGGCTTTAGGAGAGATAGTGGGCCCACACATATGAGAAGATGAGGTCTGGATCTTGCCACAGGGCTACGCTGGCCTGCATTTCCTCCCACTTCCAGGCTGTGATCACTGTGGCCTGGCCTGGCCACAGGAAGCTGCCATGTTTGCTTTTGGCAGATGCACCCCTCTTCCGGTGAGCCTCCGTCTGTCATTCTAGATGGTAGGTGGTTGGAGGCCCCCCGCTGCCTACTCCTTCAGAGGCATGGCCTTGGCTATACTTAACACTAGCACTCCATTAGCACCTTGTTGCTGACTCCTCAACCATTGCATTCCATTTTTTGTCTGCATTGTGTGCAGATTTGTATGAAGAGGGACAGATTGGGTCCCTTCCAAAGAGGTCAGCCCATTGGAACTCAGAAGGGTTTGAATAAACGTGGAAGCTTCTCTCCAGGGTGTCCATTCTTCATGTGGCTACAGCAAGGGTGAGGGACCTAGAAGTCTATCCCTTGGCCTGGTGATGTGGTACTGTGGTGACTCATGGTGCTGTGTAGTCACCAAGTGGAGCCATATCCTGGGCTTGCAGGGATTGGGTCCCAAAGGGTAGCCATAAACCCCAGGACTCCCATCCTTTTCTGTTAGCCTATGTCAGCCCTGGTCTGGGTAGTCCTAATTCTAGCAAGGGATTTGGGAGCCCTCTTCCCCCCACTGGTGAAGTGAATGAGGGGCTGGAGAGGGGCTAGCTTGGTTGGGTTTAGAGACTTCTGTTGCTCCTTGGGCTCCAAACTCAAAGCTGCCCTGGGTTTTAGAAGGAGAGACTGATGTGTCAAAATGAGCCCACCCTTGTTCCTCGGCCTCTCCATATCCAGCCTCCCTGCTGCCTGAGGCCAGGCAAGGCCTGTGCAGAGCTGGCAGGTGCCAGGTCAGAGCAAGTGGTCACTGGAGTATGACACTTGCTGATCTCTTCCTGTTCCCTTGGTAGCAGTCTCAGTTTGCCCCACCTAAGGAGAAGGTGGCAGTAGTTGGAGACATGATGATCCTGCCCCACAACCAGTCTTTGTGTCAATGTCTGTCCCCTGGGCCCTTCCTTAGCCAGCCTCCAACTTGGTGTTTCACCCTGTAGCCAGTCCCCATCTCTCACGTGAAATAAGCAAGTTCACATGGCTGACAAAGCTGATTCCAGTTGGCATTTTCTGTCTCTGTGAGCTCAGTGTTGTTGTGTCTACACATGCAGTAGTGTGTATACACATCTGTGTTAAATGCAGGTGGGCAAAGAAAGGCACTAGAGTGTAACAAGATCAGATAGGAGGGGCTGGGGATTTAGTTCAGCGGCATAAGCGCCTGCCTTGCAAGCAGGCAGTTGTGAGTTTGATTCTCGGTACTGATAAAAAGGAAAAAGACAAAAAGAAAAAAAGATCAGATAGGAGTGTGGGCCAAGAGCTAAGAACAGAGTTGGGTGTGGGTTTCACGTGCAGGTTCCTCGCTCAGGTGGAGGCACATTAATGCCACCCAGGAAGTAACTGGCTACACACTGAGAACAGAGCTGGACTGGGGCAGTGGAGCTCAGGTGTCTGGGGCATGGGATAGAGTCCAGTTCAGATTATAAACTGCTGATAGGAGGCAGCCTGGGGAGAGGTGAGGGTTAGGACCCAGGGTACTAGGTGTCAGGATCAGATGAGCTCAGTGCTTAGAGGAAGCCCTGCCTCACTACCATGGCCTTCCTAGTGGCTGAGACCTTGCAGGTGGCTACACAGCTGGCAGATGCTCAAGACAGCCTGGGGAAAAGGGTAGTAGGCAGTTCCATTTGGCCCAGCCTGATCCTGATGGCCTGATTGTGCCCTCTACTCAGCCCATCTCTGGCCTTACCTCTCCAGGGGAAATACAGTATGCAGGGGTCACAGGTGGCCCTGATACTCAGCAACCTAGGAGTGTCAGCCATTACTGCCACTGTCCTGGAACATGTGTTCCAAGCCCTGGGTTTTAAAAACCATAAGAAGAATGAAGTGTTGGTACAGGTGAGCTCTCCTGCCTCAGCCATAGCACCCACCCCCACTGGGTTCCCCAGACTCAGGCCAGATTTTGGCCCTTGCACTTAGGGCATCCTTGATGAGCTGATTTGGTTCCAAGAGCAGCTATATGCCCAGAGGAGTCCTGTGAGCTGCGGCCCCATGTTCCCCATGTTCCTCCTAATAGACGGCTGAGGGAGCCACTGCCATTGGTCCAGGAGCTAAGTCGCTGTGGGGCTCTGCAGGGCTGTCCCAAAGTCTTCCTGTTGTTCTCTAGTGGTCCTGGGGCTGGCCCAGGACCCTAGATCAAATGGAGGTGGGAGATGGGTGAGAGAGCTGGGAGCTTTTCTCCTGCCGACATGCAGCTCCTGCCTGCTTCTCCACCAGCTGAGCAGGCGCCCAGAGCCTTCCTTGCTGGTCTGGAGGAGCTCTGCAGCCACTTTCCTCACTGATCCCTGTTGCACTTGCTCTCAGAGGTGGGGGCCCCAGAAAGCATGTGGAGAGGGACAAAGGCCATCCCAGCCCTTTGTGCTCCCCAGCCAGTTTCATTCTCATGTCCTCCCCCACCACATTCATTTTTCAAAGCTTTATGGTCTGCACAGGCAGTGTGAGCCTTGGGGTACACCGTTCCAGACAGTCCAAGCTATCTCCAGCTCCATGCCGTGCCCCTTGTTCAAGCCAACCTCACACAGTCTCTTCCAGGCTGTTAGAAGTTAGGAGCTCTCTCCTGAGCTTCTAGTGTCCAGACTAGTGTTTCCAGCTGCTCCTTTGACAGTGATCGCTACCTATTAAACTGAGGGATTCTTAAGGCTGAGTAACCAGGATCTGAAGGTCTCACTGGGCAGGTGGGTGGTGCCTGGGAGATCCTGGAGGTGAGTGGGAGGCACTACAGGGCCACTCTAAGATCTTCTTTGCCTCTCCCAGACTTGGTGTCTTCCCACATGGTGCCTACCCTAGGAGCCTTCCTCCCTAGCCCACCCCACCCTCTGTGCCCACAGACTCTGGGGTGGGGGTCAGTGATGATCTAACCACTGTCCACTTGAGGCCCTCCATCCCCATGAAATAAATGACCATAAGGCTGAATCAAAGCCTAGGTCTTGCTAAATCCAGGCTATGCTCCCTATTCGCCTCCCTCCCTTTTGGCAAGTGACCCCAAAGAACCCGTAGTAGCCGTGAGGTTGCTGAGTCTTTCCCTGGAGCCAGGGTTCTGACAGCCTGATTGCAGTCTCTTCCTCATTCCCACAGAACAGCCTCTCCCCCACTCCACCAAAGCAGCCCTCAGAAGGCTTTGGGCCCCACCCTCCCAGCTCTTCAGCAGGGTGGCTGAAGAGTCTGCTGGGGACAGCTACTGCCCAGTCTTCCGGAGCTCCTTACAAGGGGCCTGTGCCTGGGAAGTGTGGAGCCCTGGAGCCCTGAGGTGAGGGGACACAGTGGTAGTCCAAATATATAGCCACAGTTGCAGATGGGACAGAGGCTGAGACCCAGGTTGGGGAGCTCAGCTGGGAGTCTCCTCAAACCATTCTGAGTGCACATTAGCCTTCTTTGTAGCCAGACCCTGGTCTCGGTGTTCAGTATGACCTATCTGGGGCCAGAGCTGGCCCCCTTCTATCTGTAGTACAAGACCAGCCTGGGGCCCAGAATGAAATGGAGGCCCTGGGAGACCTGTGCCAGGCCCTGGGCTTTGAGGCTGCTGTTAGGACAGACCCTACAGCTCAGATAAGGAGAAACACAGAACTTCTGGTAGTGCTTGGAAAGAAAGCTATCCTTCCCCTAGAACTCTGGGGCTACCTCCTGGGCTTGCCCACATCATGACCTTAAGTGTACTCACCCACAAGTCTAGCCTTCATCTTCCTAGTTGTGTGCCTGGGACAGTCACTTCCTTGCATCAGGAAGCTCATCCCCAGGGCTCCCTGACCTATGCTAGCTGGTTTGTGCTTCTCAAAAGTCAAAGCTTTCCTTTCAACAGTCTCATTTTCTTTCTTAGACAAACATCAGCCCACTGCCCTCTCCTGCCTCTTAACCTTTCCCCACTGGGGTAGGAGAACAATTGCTTCTTGGAAGCAAGACCTCCAAGTCACTTCCAAAGAGCTCGTGCTGAGTCTTACAGGATAAGGAAAGGGCTTCCTCTCTGTACCTGAGGCTGCCTGCAGGTGGAGGTCTGGTGGCAGAAGCTGAGGAAGTGCTTTCAGCCCAGGCAGGGATGCCCGGAGCCTAGGCCTAGTCTTTAATTTTGCCTCCACTCCAGGCATTCTGGGAGGACCTGGCTCAGTTGCAAGAGAGACTGAACACCCGCAAGGGCCCTGTAAGCTGTCCCCTTGTGGCCGTGGTGAACTATGGGATGGGCCACAGGGATGGCTGCTGGGGCTGACAGAAAAGAATAGCTACAGGCACTAGTGAGAAAAGTAAGCCGCTGCCCAGTGCTACAGGGCCACCCCAAGATCTTCCTGTTTTGGGCGTGCCATGGGAGTGAGTAGCCTGGCCTCCTCCTCATTTCCTGCTGTCCTAGATTTCCTTAGCCAGCCATTGACCTCCCACACTTGCTATCCATCTCCTCCAGGAAGCCTGAGTGCTGGCCCTTCCCACCGATTCTCCCATTCTTCCTGCAGTCAAGCCCATGAACTTGAGCTGTTAACCCTCAGCCTGGTCAGTCAGTGCTCTGAATGTTTCAGGCCATTTCCCAAGTTCTTCAGACTGGGTTCTTGCCTCCACTGTTTCCAGGGGGTCTGTGGTCTGTAGGCTCCCATGAGTAGCCACCAAATGAAATGATCTGTTCCCCCTTTTCCTCCAGGAAACAGAGATGCTGCTGTGGCGTCCCCAGCTGGTACCGATGCTGGTTGTGGGCACCTGCAGCAGTCCCTTCCCACGCAGATGTCTTCCAGATCCATGCACATGCCCAGGGTGGGTCTTGTGGTCTTTCCAGAGCCTGGACTCAGCAGGGCTGGTGGCAGGAACTTCCCAAGAGCATTTCTAGTGCTCTCACTGGGTTCCTGCCATCACCTCTGGCTCCTCTTTGCCAAGATGATGGGAGGAAAGTCCTCCTAAAGTACAAGGCCTTTGGGAAGCAAGAACTGTCCTCTTAATTCAGCCTGGCAGCAGCTTGAAGTCAGCATTAGCTTTTCTGAGGCCAAACACCTGGTAAGTAGCAGGGCTGAGCTTTGGTCTTCAATTTATGTTCTTTCCTCCCTGCATTTTTTCTACTGTCCCGTGCTGCCTTGATCTAGAGAATTGGAAGAGACCTTAGGACTGGTGGAGTCCCAGGATGCAGGTGATTAGAGTTGACTCCTCTAGCGGGCAGCTGTTCCAGGGACCCCACTTCAGGACATGCTGACCAGGCAGACTTTCTGACAGTGTACGCAGCCACTGAGGGTAAGACCCCTGTAGGTCTTTACATCAGTCCAGCTTCCTGTTTAAGATCTACAGTATCATTAGGGAGAGCCAGAACT